AGCTCTGTGCATCTGGGGTTTTGTGTGCCCTACTGGCTTGTTACTAAGAAGTGATGGAATTTGATCAAGTAGTATAATCATCTGTTGCATGTGTGGCTGCTGTTGAATTGAGTTCAAAAACTTTTAATCTAGTTGTTTACTTACACTGAACTCTCATTTTAGCATTCACTCAGTTACCTGCTAGAGTTGATGGCATTAAATAAAGACTATTAGACATTTTGGGCAAGCATGTAGTTGTTACATATTTGAAGTGCCCCACACTCTAATGGTGCCATATAAATAATAAATCAAGGCAGGAAACATGGCATGCTGACTTTAAAGTTTGGCAAGGAAATAAAGGAGAAACTGATTTCTCAGTTTTCTTAAGTTTATTTTAATACTTATGAAAGGTGCTGGTCTGAAAATCTTGGCAACTTTGTTCATGCTGATAGCTGGAATAGTATGGGTAATAGCAAGACATTCTTAGTCAATGTGCATTGACAGATAACCTCAGGAGGTGAAAGGATAGTTCAGGCTCTATGTTCCATTAATCAATTGCCTCTATTGAGACTGCCAATAGGGGTGTTGAGAATCTGTGAATTCCAAAATGGATTGTGAACTCTTGTCCACTAGCAATTGAACAGAGCAGTTGAATTCATATATGTTAATGAACATTGATGAATTATGCTCACTTTCAACTCTGAGTTGTGTGTGAACTAGTGACCAATAGGCTCTGCTACTTATTACTGTGCCTTTGATTGAAGATTCCATATACTTTTCATCTAACTTCAGTTTATTTGACTTCTCTGTTAATTCTTAGTAATGATACTGAGATATTGGGATTTAAGTATTGTTAAAATATTATAATCTTTCCCTTAATTTTTACAGTTCAGGATAACACTACTTTTTACACATTACATTTGAAAATAGAAGGTGGGTTAGTACTTCCAAAAAGGTGAGAAAAACAAGGATTTGTAATACAAATAGTTATTGTGCTTTCTATGCCCTCTCATTACATTAGACCAGCTTGCACATATCACCAGTAGATTTTTGTAACTATCTTTATGAAGAATGAGAATCCAATTTTTGTAACTATCTTTATGAAGAATGAGATTGCCTTTGATCAGTCATGATTGCCTTTGATTTTGTTAATTTCTCCAAAGGTAAACTCCTAATTTATTTCCATAGTTTTTCTTGATTAGATTGTCTATGTGTGAATGAAGATTGTGATAGTCCTGAGGAAATTCAGTATTTTTTATTAAGGTTCCAAATGTAACAGTTGCAAAATTCCCTCAGGATTAATTATGAAGTTGCTATCCCAATAAACATTAAAGAAAAGTAGAAACTGGAAGTGAAACTGAAAACAAATGTTTAAGTACTTTCTTACTGTTGCTGCAAATGAATTTGTGCAGTGGGTGCAAGCTTACATGTACAAATATGCACAAAGCCTCAAATAATTATGGGATATAAAATCACATTTTATGTCCAGCATGAAAGAATAACTTGCAAATCGGAATGAATTACAAGATACAAACATGACAGTTCCTTCTCTTTTCCTTGTGGAGAATCTCTCAGACTTCCGCTTCTTTTTTAATAGCCCTTCTCTCCTGTCCATCACCATCACTGCCCTCAACATTGTCAGTGTTTCTTTTGTGTATCAGTTTTTAGAGTAAGCTTTTGCAAAGGAGCAGAGTATGTGGAGGAATTCTATTCTATCCAGAGCTATTTCTATTCCTTTCTTAACTTTTGAGCCATTAGCTAAAACAAGTTATGTAGCCAGAGGAACTGTCCATTCAGCACCCCTTGAGCTAGAATCATACTTTTTCATTTGAGTGGGTATGTTGATAGCAAAATCTTTACATGCAGTTTTGCTATGTATCTTAAGGTTCTTTAACCAATTAACATTAGGCTAACACTGATTCATTACTCTTCTACATGCCTTTCCTCTGTATTTTTAGCTGATTGGCTAACATACTTATGGGAAAATTCTACAATCAACAGCATCTCTAAATCTTTAGGGTAGATTGTTGGATCCAAAGAGCTTGTTTTTGTAATTGTATAGCTGCACATAAAGTATATTAAACTTCTCTTTCTCTCACCAGAAGCGAATTACAGGCAAATTGTGCAATTTCTGGAATTCAGCCGACAGATTCAAAAAGTAGCATGGGGGGAGGAGGAATGTTTCCTGTTTTAAATCTTCTTCTAGCAAGTGGTATCAGGACTGGTCCTTGCACTGGAGGGCCTCAGCACAACTGTCATAATGCTCTTTAGATGTTTTCACTGTCAAAATAATTGGCTAATGTCAGTTATTGCTTTTATTTCAGAATGGCTTGAATTAAAATATCAGTATTTTTGGCCAGAAACTGGAGCTATGACTTCTGCAGTAGGATGTTAATAAGCAAGTAATTTGTTAATTTTTGTTGACTATACGATTTTGTCGACTACATGATTAATCAATAAGGATTAGCATTGCAAGCACTTAGTCCCAGCTCATGCCAAGTCCCAGCAACTACTCCTGCTGTGTCTCTGCATTAAGAGTATTTTAGGAGCTTTGGGGGGAGGGAGGAGGAGGGAGGACAGGTAGCCTGGATCAGTCCCAGCTTGTGCTGAGTCCTGGGAGCTACCCCTGCTGTGGCTTTGCACTAAAAGTTATTGCAGAATTGCAGTGGGGGTAGCTCCTGGGACCAGAAGTGATCTGAGACTGAGCCAGCCCGCTAAAAAGTTTAATGGCAGAGCTGCGGGGTGTGGCTATGTAGCCAGTAACATTAACCGATCATTCACTTATCGGTAAACTGTTTAACTGGCTACACTATTACATCCCTGTTCTGCAGTCATTTAGATCACCATCAGTATTACAACATCAAAGTGCCATTACTGTAGGAGTGACGCCGTCTTGTGTACGAGAAAGAAGCTGTATATCTTTAACTCTCCAGGCCTGTTCAATAGGGTTATTATGTGAAGACAAAACAGATCTTCAGAATGATAGACCAGTGTAACTTGGACTCCCCTGTTCTAGGCTTTTTTTGTGAGTCCCTTTTCCTCATGTACTGGAAGAGTCATAGGAGTCAAATAAGAAAGCTATATGGGATGAAAAGGCCTGGTGCTGAAAAAAGGCAGTGTAACACTAGATGAAATAGTGTTGAAGGTCAGGATTCTTTTGTGCTGGTGGTGTATGAAGAAGCTTTATAGTTAGGCTTGGTTGAATTCAGTTTTTATTTACAATTTTGGTACACATTGATGTTTTAAAGCATTTTTTTCAGTTGTGAGAGAGGATTAGACAGTTATTTAATTAAATGTTGAGATTCAAAAAGTTAGTTTTATTTTGTTAAAATACAAACTTGTCAACTGCCCCTGAAAATATACAAACATTCAGCAATTACAAATCTAATTCAAGCATAATTTCTCTCTCTCATGTTTGCATCTAATCCATGCTTTCTTGGTCTTCATCAGAAATAAGTCAGCCAAAATTACAAACAAACTTAATTTTGTGCTACCATCAATCTGAGTCAGTATGTACAATTTGATGGTCAATTGTGGTGTGTTGATATGTTAAAATAAATCTTTAAAATGATGACCCACTGGCTTTCTATAATACATATTTCCCTATCAGTGTCACGTTGAGTTGGTCCAAAGATGACCTTTCTTATTATTGGCTCTGCAAATTAAATGTGCAGTCTGAAAATCCAGCTGTGATTGTCAAATAATGTCAGTAACATCAGAACTCCGCTGGCAATTCTGTTGACCCTATTGGGCAGATAGCCCTGCACCTTAAACAGCCAAATTGACACAAAGTAGATTCTAATAGGAGCGAAAACATGTTTGTAGTAGTTGAATAAGCAAAGACACAGAAGGAACAAATGCAAGAGAAGATGCAATTTTTGTTCACTTTTGACAAGCTCTTTAGCAGTGGTTACTGTGTAAATAGAGTATAATCCTGAGATGTTGTGTGATGGGGTCAGGAAATAAAAAAATAGTTTAACAGCATCATTAAACTGTGTGGATGTTTTAATAAAGGTGTATTACAAACTAAATGCAGTGCCGGAAGATAAAATGCAAGTAAATCCTCTGTAGCTGGAGAACATTTTTACCTTAGATTTTTAGAAAGGTATATATAAAAATGTGCCAATCCCCACAAGATCCCTCAGCTCACAGTAGGGAGGCACAGAGCTATCTTTTTTTCATTCTTACTGTTTAAGGGGCAGTCTAGTGGGTAGTTCACTTAGAGCTTCTATTAGAGGTTGATTTAATTTATGGCATAGGGAATCATGGACTTTTCCATGTATGAGCTAGTGGTTAGATGATTTTTAAGAACAGTTTTAACATTTGTTTTTCTCTCTCCCTAGTACTGGAGATTGACTTCTCAGAGCTGGCGCTGGAGGAAATCATTGGCATAGGAGGCTTTGGAAAAGTCTATCGAGCTGTTTGGGAAGGAGACGAAGTTGCTGTCAAGGCAGCTCGTTATGACCCTGACGAGGCCATCAGCCAGACCATTGAAAATGTTCGCCAAGAGGCCAAGCTCTTTGCTATGTTAAAGCATCCCAACATCATTGCCCTCAGGGGAGTGTGTCTGAAAGAACCTACCCTCTGCCTGATCATGGAGTTTGCCCGTGGAGGGTCACTAAATAGAGTGCTGTCAGGTAAAAGGATTCCTCCAGACATTCTAGTGAACTGGGCTGTCCAGATTGCCAGGGGAATGAATTACCTGCATGACGAAGCGATTGTTCCTATTATTCACCGTGATCTCAAATCCAGCAACAGTAAGTTCATTTAGTGGCCAGGGTTGAGACGGGGTTTTGAAAGGAAGTGGTAAGAAAGGAGGAACATTCCCAATTTAAATTGTGTGTTGTGAACCACTGTATCTTCTAGAGCAATCCATTGGGGGTGATAAAACTGAGTGTTTTCAAGGAAGTTAAATTTTCATCAAAATAGCGGTAAAGGCCTTATAAACAAAGACTTAGAGCAAGTGTTACTTTCACAGTTTCAGTAATATGTAATTTGTAGAGGTAAACACATCGATTATATGCTATAAAGGATATTTCCCCAATAGAAAGCATATTTGTACAGTGAACTAATACATATTTTTGTATAAATAACCAATATTCCTAAGATCTCATAAGAAGTTGCATTTAATCACTTTAGCAAATACCAATATGTGGGAAACTACCACTGAATGTAAAATGCAAATTAACATTATCCTTTGGTAGGTAATAAGCCTAGTTAAACCTGAGATAAACGTAAATAATACTTAATATTATGAACATAGGAATTGCAATGCTGGATGAGGCCAGTGGTCTATGTGGTCAGGTATGCTATTCCTAACAGTGGCCAGCACCAGATGCTGCAGTGGCCAGTACCAGATGCTGCAGAAAAGAGTACAAGAAACCTCACATTTGGCTGATGTAGAATGATCTACTGTCATCATTAGGTTTTGCCTTAACTCTACCACCTCTTCTGTATTACAGATCTTCCTATTGGTTTTCTTTATTGGTGTGTTTGTGGTATGAAACGGAGGATACAGACTAATCTTTAAGGGGGAACTGACTATGCATTGAGGCAAGGAAATCTGGAAGCATTACCTTCCAAAATGCTTATTTGTTTCCTGGTAATAGGTAGGATCAACTCTGTGCGCTCCCATCAAGTTGTTGCCTCTCCTGCCTTGGGATTTATGAGGATTTTTTTTATTGCAGCACATATAATCAGGGGGTGATGCTAATAGTACTGTTAATTGTAGTTTTGGAGTCCGTCATGGATTTCTGAGCCTCTCTATAGGAAATAAAAAAGCATGTTTAGAAGCATGCAATTAGTTCCATTTTATGTATAATTTATAAATTTAACTTTGACTTTAATACCAGCTTTTGGGTTAGTGTACTTATACTCATAACTATGAGGATGTACTGCCTCCCTTACTGTAATAAGGGAAGGAAGATAATCACAGCACAGCACTCCTTAGGGAAGGATGATAAGGAAGTAGAAAACATAATGGAAAAAGTAGCAAAAAACCTATTTCACTTGAAGCTTTGTCATAATATATATAATATTTCATAATAGGCTTATTCAACTACTTTCAAAAAGTCTCTTAGTGGAGCTAATTAACAAAATGCCCTTCATGCGAGTCCTGTCTGATAGACAATTTTTACTCCTGTGGCATTGCTGATATTTCTCTGTTTCACTGTCTTGTTTCCAGGAAGTCCCTTTATCCCCAAACTTGCAAGCTGATGTGATTTTGAGGAAGAATTAAGCTGGCTTCTAGATTTAATAATTTCCCATGGAGCACTTAAATGATTTTCAAGTGCAGGCTAATTCAAGCCTAAACAAGAAAGGTGCCCAAGCAATTGGCAAGGATTGAATTCAATCCATAAAGGAGAAACTCCATTTTTTTAACTTAAGTTCAGTTGAGGGTTCTCTTTTAACAAATATTCAAGATATTTACCCACTAAAACAATCAGACTTATTTCAGTCTAGCTGAGTGACATATATTGAATGCCAATATATGATGGCTCTTCTTCCCTCATTTAAAAAAAAAAAAGCTCTTTAGTGTTACTGTACAGTATAGCTTAAACTCCAAGAAGCTGCACTGTCACATCTATCACATCCTTCATATTGACATTTATAGTGGAGCAGCTGGCAAGCTTTGCTAGAGTCACACACGTTTGATAATTAAAAAGCTTGTGCTTCCAAGATGTAGGAAAATTCCCCCTTTAATACAGCTGATGTTGGGTGTGGGAGATTATCTTCTAGTTAGCAGAGTCAGCATTCACACTGGTTTTTCTTTCCAAATTGTTGAATTTCTAGGGTGGTCCATGAAAAAATTCTGTGGTAAGGATATTAAGTGCTTAACTTATGGGGCTAAATTCACATCTGGTGTAAGGTGCAGTCCCACTAAAACTAATGGCAAAGTATCCAGCATAGTAGGTGATGACAGGACCTACAATGAGGGGGAGTGTGCATATAGTGAGTAGGCAAGTCCAAACCTAGTCCGTAGGCAAGTCTGTTACTCACTTTATTGGAAGTGGAAGAATTTCCTTCCTATGATGATCAAGGACAAGTTGCTTAAGGAAGTGATTCAATCTTTTGTGAAGCAGAGCTATGTGGGGTGGATACTTGAAAATTGGAGTAGGAGTGAAGTTTATTTCAGTAAACCAATGCAATGCAATAAAAGCTCTTTTGGATACAATCTTTCAAACTATTGTCTCTCAAAACTGAGTTCATACTCAAGATACTATACTACATGAAACATAGAAAATGCCCATATGAGCAGGCAAGCTCACTCCCACCACCATCTCCAGTAAGCACTTACTGCTTTTTGACTCTTAGGCAAAACTGTAGACTTCTTACCTAGTTTTCTGAATCTGTATTTTTTTCAGACAACGTATCATGGAGATAAATGAATTCTCAGCATTCATCATAAATGCCTGGGATGACTTATTTTCTGAACCACATATGAGTTGCAACATGCAACTTGTTTCATTGGAGAAACAAGAATAGAGTGCTCTTATAGCTTGCTCAGGATTACCCAGAGCCTGCTCGAGAGCTGCAAAGATATCTAGGTCTTCTGACCCCCAATTCCCTGTCTTAACCTCAGGATTATTCTTTTTCCCTCCAGATGGTCACTAGTCAAAAGCAGGTTCCCAATGAACTAAGCCTGTACTGGCCTGAAAGTGTCTCAGTACTTGAAAAGCTGTCCAGAACAACTAGGTCAAGGAGCGCAGCTCACTGGGATCTTTTAGTGAAAGGAAATGAAGGCCTTGTCCATCTAGCTGTGTCACAAATGTAGAAAAGATGAAAAGAAATCTTTAAATATAATGAAGGGAACCTGAAACTTACCACATATGAGTGCAGTACTCGTTTAATGTATCTTTTAGCCAAAGACTCCAGTACAATTCCAGGAATACAGGAAAATGTTGAAATTACAAAAATACTTTTGTAACAGTCACTTCACTTCAGCTTCACTTATTCTCCCAAGAAGTATATGGAATTCAGGGGTTTACTATTTTGAGCTATTTATTAAGAACTATGCTATTCTGATGACAATTGGTGTAGCACATCCTGACAAATTAGAAGGAACTGTCATAGTCAAAATAGTCAACATTGGACTCGAGAAATGTAGATGATAAGTTTGTGTATCATAGTCAAAATAGTCAACATTGGACTATTATGTAGACGATAAGTTTCAGTGTGTATATACTATTGTATACTGTAATTAGATCAAAGTAGATAAATCAATAGGGATTTGAAAAATCAGGAAAAACTTTTATTCTCTCTGAGGAGGAAGGAGATGAAATCTGCTATTGTAAAAGTTTGAAGGACAGCTAAAGTAACTTAGGAGACTGTCTCATTTTCCAATTTAGGTGAGCAGGAACATAATAAGCTCAGTCACTTTCACGAAGATATATTTGAAAGTTTTCCCAGGCTGACCTGAAATTAGTTTAATGCACTGATGACTGTTAATCCCTTTGTTCCTGTAATAAAGCATTTGATTGTAAATGTGAAGCATGTTTTGAATAGAAGTTTATATATCCAAAAAATTGAAGGTTGTTTTATTTAATAAAAACACACTTTATATGATGTTTATATTCCTATTACAGTCCTGTGCAGCTTGACACAAAACGTTACTTTTCTAGTAAATAGTGATACCATTCACCATTCTTTAATATACTAAAGGGCTACATCTACACTGCCCAGTCTTGTGCAAAAACATATGCAAATGAGGCCCAGTGCCCAGTCTTGTGCAAGAACATATGCAAATGAGGCCCAATGATGAATATTGTCATTGTATACTTAATGAACTGCCATTTTTGTGCAAGAAGGAGCCGCTTCCTTTCAGGCAGAACAGCTCTTGTGCAAGAGGTAGTTTTTGCGCAAGAAGGAGCAGTGTAGACTGCTCCTTCTTGCACAAAAGCCCCTTGTGCAAAAATGGCAGCTCATTAGTATGCAAATGAGGTGCGGTGATATTCAGCGCTGCGCTTCATTTGCATATGTTCTTGTGCAAGACTGGGCAGTGTAGTCGTAGCCAAGGTGTATAAGAAATATATCGCTGAATATTTGCCGTTTTTTTTTTTTAATTTTGTAAATAAAGGTGTGTGTACATAGCGTACCCTTTTAGACCTGGTTTACGCTACATGGTTAAGTTGACATAAGCTGCTTTGTATCAACCTACATGTGGTCGACCACCTACCTGAGCATCGTAGGGCATGTCTACATTATGAGATAAGATCAAATCTAATGTGGTCTGTTTGCTAAGTCAAAGGTTCATGTCTTCATTGCAGGGAAGAATCGAATGTAGGTAGTGCATCTTCACTAGGGAGCCTACTGTCAATTCAGAGGGCAGTGCACCATAGGCAACTTTGCATTTTAGGCTATATTCATAGTGCCCACCAGGACCAAAACTCTGCAGTGGACGGTTAGAGGGGCTCATGGTGCCAACATCCCAGAATGCACTTGTTTAGTCCTGCCCCTTCCCGCCCCCCCTTGCAGGATATCAGTAAGAGGCAGTGTGTGTGCCTGTGTGGATGCCATAGCAGCGCAAGCAAGGAGCCTGGTTTGCAGGGAACCATTGTCATCAACATCCCAGAATGCACTTGTTTAGTCTTGCCCCTTCCCGCCCCCCTTACAGGATATCAGTAAGAGGCAGTGTGTTTGCCTGTGTGGATGCCATAGCAGCACAAGCAGGGAGCCTGGTTTGCAGGAAACCATTGTCACCATGTGGTCGACCACCTACCTGAGCATCATAGGGCATGTCTACATTACGAGATAAGAT